TTAAGTCACCAATACTTACCCTATAATGACAAAACTATGCTTTTCTTTAAGTAAAAGAACTTTGAGATGGAAAATACTAAAAAAACCAGAAAAGTACAGTTTAAAAACTTCAACTCTTTGTGGTGCTGCAAATAAGAAACTTAAATTTACCTGGCGTCTACTATAACTACAAGTCCCATTGATAAAAATACTCGCTCTGAACAGTCATCCGGAAAACGTTTTTAAAAAAATCACTACTAGAGTTTGTGTCTGAACCATCAAGAAACAACAACAAAAAAGAAGGCCCTGACCTCCTTTCCCGACCTGTCACTGGTATAGGGGCGGGGAGGCAACTAAGGGAAACGCTGACAGCTTTGCAGCTGCCAGCTAGGAGCAATCTGCCAGCCGCCCCAGGCGGGAAAGAGGGGCGCGGGGAGTTTCCGGGCCGCGGCGCGCCTTTGTCCCGTCCGACAGGTGCGGCAAAGCAGCCGGGCCGGTCGAGACGCCCGCCGCCTTGCCCCGCCCCGCGCGCCTCGCCTGACCGGCGCGTCTCCACAGTCGGGGCGGGGCCTCCGCCGCTGCTCCCGCCCGCCCGGGCCCACACAAAGGCCCGGGAGCCGGCCGAAGAGGAACGGCCCCGCCCGTCCCAGGCCCGGCCTTACCCAGCCGCTCCGCCGCCTGCAGCCCCGGCCGCGGTCCCCGACCGCCACGCCCCGCCCTGTGGCCGCCACGGCTGCTGCTATTGCTCCTCCGGCCGCGACCGCTGCCGTCGCTCCAGCACCCGCCGCCCTCGCCGCCCTCACCTCCCTCACCCCTCCCGGTGCCGCCGCAAAACCAACCCTAGAGCCGCCAAGCGATCCCGGGTCCGCGCGACACTGCGTGCCCGTGCACGCGGGCCGACGGCGGCGCGCTTTACGGCGGCAGCGTGAGTGCCTGACGCTCGCTGGTGGCCTCAGTTCACACGTGGTCCTGGCTGAGAGGGGTCGTATCCACTGATCTTGCTGCAACTGCTAGGCTCACCTCCATTATGAAGCGGCCGAGTGAGTGGTGTCTGGAGTTGGGGGTGGACGGGCTTCCCATCAGAGAATTCTGCCGAGGCTTGGGCTCTGAAGTAATGGGGGCCTGCGTGTAAGCAGTCAGCCATTGTTCTGGTCCCGCGTAGAACTGAGAGTTGGAAGGCCCAATGTTAATGGCGGGCCCCTGGTACAGAAGGTAATATTGGGACCCCAAAGTTCGCGATGAAACAGCGTCTGGTAGATTTAGGGTCGCCTTTTTTCCGTTATGTGGCCACGTTTAGGCCGGCCCCAGTGAGGCCTGAAAGTCACTTCTCAAACCCACTTTTCGCTCGTGATTCGCGGTTGACAGGGAGTGGCTGTCGTCTTGGGTCTCTTGCACTCCGGAGTACGATCCCAGTCTGATATTGGAAGAGTTAGGGAGGGTGGTTGGGCTCTACTCTCCCATCTATTGAGTCAAACTCTGATTTGAGAGTAGCGAGTGTATTTCTGTTATGCTCCCCACAAAATTATTAAATTATGTTTGAGAGCTTATAACTACTTAAAAAGGGACCTTACTCTAGAGCAAAGTCACCAACAACTAAACTGAATTTGTGTCTATTCTTGTGATGTGTTTCCTTGTAGAGTTAAAGAAAGCAAGTAAACGCATGACCTGCCATAAGCGGTATAAAATCCAAAAAAAGGTAAGCCTCGTGCTTGGGAGAACTCTACCAAATATAATGCTAAACTGATGTCCTCCCACAGGTGGTGTGGATTCTTGTAGTTCATGTCAGGAAATGGGGGTTGCATATACTGACCGTGGTGCAAACTCTTTTCTTTTTTTAAAAATTGATTGGAGAGAGAGAGAGAAACATCAATTTGTCATTGGTTGATTCTTAGATGTGCCACGACCAGGGATGAAACCCACAGTCTTGGCATATCCAGATAACACTAACCAACTGAGTTTACCTGGCTGGGACAGCACCATCTCTTGGTCATCAAGAGTGCAGTGTGGAAAACTGAGTAATTCAGAAATAAAGTATGTAAACTTTGATCATCATGTTCACAAGCTTTGCAAAAAGAGTCTCCCAGTAACATTTCTTGCTGTCTTTTACATAAATAGGCATCTGTGTGATTACAATTAAAGTTCCATTTTTTTAGGTCATTTTGCCCATATAACAAAATTGCAGCCAGATTGATTTCTTACAAAGATTCTGTTTAGTATTTTTGTAAACTGATTTAAAAAAAAAACTTTCTATTACAATAGGTTCGGGAGCACCATCGAAAATTGAGGAAGGAGGCTAAGAAACGGGGTCACAAGAAACGGAGGAAAGACCTGGGAGTTCCAAACAGTGCTCCCTTTAAGGAAGCTCTTCTTCGGGAAGCTGAACTAAGGAAACAGAGGGTAAGCTACAATAGCTGAAATTTTCAACAAGTGATGTGTGGGGGGGTTTTTTTTTGAAGTGAGTTAACATAACAATACTAAGTCACTTTGGCTCACCCATTTCTCTTATGATTTGGATACAGCTTGAAGAACTAAAACAGCAGCAGAAACTTGACAGGCACAAGGAACAGGAAAATAAAAGAAAACTTAAAACTAACTCTGTTGTTGAGCCATCTAATATGGAGCCTGTGAAGGAGGTATGATTGAGAGATTGAATTCTAATGTAGAAGAAAAGCTCATAAACAGGGCAGGAATGCTGTGCCTCTTGGGAAGAAAAGGATTGAGTTCAGATGCTATTTAAATATCCATTGCAGTACCCCTAATCAGCCATGGAAAATGGAGAAAGTGGCTACAACTGCTGAATTTGTAATTTTGTCCTTTTTTTCTTTACCTTTATCCTTTAGGAATTTGAGCAATGCACAGCTAAGAACAAAGCCAAGCCTGGCAAACAGAATCCGAAGAAGTTGTATTGTCAGGAACTTAAAAAGGTATTTTAGTCTAGGTTTTCTAAAAGTAATAGTGATATTTAAAAGACTAGAGTCCTAGCCCTGGCTGATTTGGCTCAGTGGAGTAAAAGATGAGAGTCCTTTTTTCTGACACCAAAAGATGAAGAAGAGTTCATTTGAGCTGGAAAAAGCCATTCATAAGAGCTAAGCAAGTAGGTTTATTCTATTGAGAGCCTTTCTGTTGTTTGGCTGAAGAAAATCTTATTATTTCTTTTTCTTTTTACACAGGAACAATAACCCATAAACATCATTTATAAAAGTGATGCTTTGTGTTAAAGTAACATGTTGACCCAGTGGTTGTTAAGAGAGGAAAGTAAATTAAAATAAGGGTCGCAAAAGCAGCAGTCCCCAGCCTTTCTGGCACCAGGTACCCATTTGGTGGAAAACAGTTTTTCCACAGATGGAAGAGAGGAGAAACAGCTAACTTGCCTGCTGCTCACCTTGTGCTGTGCAGTCTGTTCTTAACAGTACTGTACCTGCTGTAAAGTATTTGGTAGGAACTCAAGGGGATGTCTTGGTGTAGTTAATCCCCAGCACTTCCACCCCAGCACCTGTTTTCCCAAGCTCACTCTCCCCTGTGAATAGAACTTGACCATGCTTCTCAGCAGCTCTTGGCAGGTCCTAATTCACTGGGAGGGTTTTATATTCAGACAGTGGGGGTGTTTACACTTTTGAAATCTGTGTTAATGAGCAGCCAGAGAACTGCTGAGCACACCTGTGTTTTACTTTGCTGTGAGAAATGATGAATGTGAACATTCTTCATACCAAAGTGAAGAAGTGAGATCCAACTCTGAGTTCACCCTGTTACAAAGTGGATAATAGCAGTATACTTGTATGGAGGGTGTCCTAAGATAGTTCCCTGATAGTTTTACTTTGGCAGGTGATTGAAGCCTCAGATGTTGTGCTGGAAGTATTGGATGCCAGAGATCCTCTTGGTTGCAGGTGTCCTCAGGTGGAAGAGGCCATTGTCTTGAGTGGACAGAAAAAGCTGGTACTTGTATTAAATAAGTCAGGTGAGCAAAAGGGATGCTCTTCGTATTTCATGCGCACTGGTGAGGTATGAGGAAAACATCTGAACAGTCTGATTGTCGCTGAAGACTGAGAGATCCAACTCTGACCTCAATAAAGCCAGTGCATTTGCTGTCTTCTTTCCAGAGACAGCTGGGCAGAGGGGTGGAGGTTTTTGGCATTCCATGCCTAGCACCTTATTTAAGAACGTAAGTTTTCATAGCTTAACTGTACAAAATACATGGTGCAGCAGAAGTAATGCCTGTTTGAGTGTGGTTGGTAAGGGTACGTGATGTCTTGCTCGAGATGGATAGCAATTTGAACATGTCACCTAAAATGTCCTGAGGTGCGCTTGAGTGTGATACTATGTTGCAGAATTACATGCTTATGATTTTTTAATAACAAGGGGGTATTATTTGTGACAGACCCTGCATTTTACATATAAGTGATGACTAATGTTCTCCACCTGAACAATGTTGATATGTGACAATATTTAGATGAAATGCATAGTTAAATATGTCTGGGTTTAAGCAGCAGGAATGGGAAAACCCAGAATAGAGACCTGCGAAGCAGAATAACAATGGGATATATAATTACTGTGTGGTCAGTAAACATGGCTGCTACCTAACGGCAGATACTGGAAGTAAAGGCTTAAGGCAATAATCTAGAGTTTGACTTTGTCCTGAAAGCATAAACAGGACAGGGGATTGAAAAAATATGGAAGTATACATACTGAACCCTTAAGTGTAGTAAAGAGCTTGCTTACTTTCTATCATCCACATAAATCCTTTTGGGGAAAAAAAAAAACAAAAAGCAAACCAGGGTAAAATCCATAGTTTCATTAAATGTGCGGATTCATCTCAATAGAATGACCAAATTAGAACATGTGTGTTTTATTTCTAATCCCTATCAGATTTGGTACCAAAGGAGAATTTGGAGAACTGGCTAAATTATTTGAAGAGGGAATTGCCAACAGTTGTGTTCAGAGCCTCAACAAGTCTGAAGAACAAAGGGAAAACAATCAAGGTACCCTTTACTATCATTGTGGGAAATTTGCTTCTTTCAGATTTTGGATGGCTGAAATATGATGAATTACACAAAACCTTGGTTTATAAAGTGGGAGTGTATAAGCTTCCAACTCTCATGTCATCCAGAAATAATCTGAAAGGTGGTTGTGTGGTCATTTAAATAGCTGGGCTTTGGAGCCAGATGCTTGAGTATTGTATGTTGGGTTGTCAGAAGTAGTTAAACTGTTTGTAATTTTAATGTGAAGAAGATAAGGAGAAAAGCTCCATTCAGAAGTGAAGTCTGCGTTGGGAAAGATGGTCTTCGGAAACTTCTTGGAGGTTTTCAAGAGACATGTGGCAAAGCTATTCACGTTGGAGTAATTGGTGAGTTTCAGTTTAACACAATTTTATGTCTTAATCTCTTATATGCCAAGAGTTTTTCTGTTAACGGTTGTATGGGGTTGCCCTGGCTGATGCGGCTCTGTAGGTTGGAGCATCATGCTGAGCACCAAAGGGTTGGAGGTTCAGGCTCCAGTTGGGGTCAGTGCAGAAGGCAATTAATCAATGTTTCTTTCTCCATTCCTTTCTCTAAAATCAGTAACAATTTTAAAAAATTTAAAGAAGAAAATATATGGGGTAGTTAATAAATGAGTGACTTGTCCCCTAACTGGTATGACTCAGTGGATTGAGTTCCAGCCTGTGAATCACAGTGTCGCTTATTTGATTCCCAGTCGGCACATTGCTAGGTTGTAGGCCAGGTCCCTGGTGGGGGGTGTGTGAGAGGCAATCCCACAGTGATGTTTCTCTTTCTCCCTTCCCCTCTCTAAACACAAATAAAATCTTTACCAAAAAGAAAGATTAAATAAATGACTAGTTTTAAATATTAGCTTTCTTGCCCATGTTACCAAGCACACACACACAATGTAAACACAAATTGTACATAATTGCACCCCCCCTTTTGGGGGGGTGCCAGCTGGGCTCTGTAGGAAGTTGGCTTCTTAAAGCTCTTGGTTTATTTGAGTTAATCATCTTTTCCTGACCTCATTATTTGTGCAAGAAATGAGGAGAATACTAAGATTGGTCTTAGTGTTAAAGTGAAGACACTCAGATCCAACTCTGATCTTGCTCTAAACATCAGGCAAGTGTAAAAAAAAAAAAAAACCAGTGGAAATGTAATAATAACCAACACTAACCACAATTTTCTTTTTATCTGTGAATTTACCATTTGTAGGTTTCCCAAATGTGGGGAAAAGCAGCATCATCAATAGCTTAAAACAAGAACGGATGTGTAATGTAGGTGTATCCATGGGGCTTACAAGGTAAACTGAGTTGTTCCATAATTGTAATATTTCATCCCAGATGAGATTTTGTTTTGGAGATATTAAGGAAGACAATTTCCCATTTTTTCTTTAGAGGTGTTAGTGAAAGGAAGAGGTTAAGCCAATTCTAGGCTTGGAAAGAACTGGGATTGGAATAGCTGCTCACAGTTTGGTTTGAAAAACAAGCAAATGGATTCAGAGAGGGGGAACGTCCTCAGAGGAAATAATGCTTGAACCTGGTTTTAAAATGAACAGAATTCTGCCAGCTGCAAGAGGATGTTTTTGGCCCTGGCTGGAGTGACTCAGTGCATTGAGCATGGGCTCTGAGCCAGAGGGTTGCCAGTTTCTTAGTCAGGGTACATGCCTGGATTGTGAGCCAATGTATGGTTGCCATGTGAGAAGCAACCATACACTGAGGTTTCTCTCCCTTTCTCCTTCCCTTCCCCTCTCTCTAAAAAAAGAGAAGGTATATTTGGCAGAGGAAGCAGCATGTGTTCAGTAGTATGTAAGCTGTAACATGTTTGTATATAGAAGGGGAGGGATTACTGGTTTTAGATAAACATGAAGCAAATGATGATAAACTGGATCTGACAGACTATGCTGAGTTTGTTCAATCCAACCCTGAGCTTCATGTTCTGTCCCTCGTCCTCTGTGCAAGTAGACACCCTCACCAATTACCATCTTGTTCCAGGAGCATGCAGGTTGTCCCCCTGGACAAACAAATCACAATCATAGACAGTCCAAGTTTCATTGTGTCTCCACTTAACTCTCCCACTGCACTGGCTCTGAGAAGTCCAGCAAGTATTGAAGTACTAAAACCAGTGGAGGCTGCCAGCGCAATCCTGTCCCAAGCTGACACTAGACAGGTAAAAGAACCCTCCTTATCATGAGAACCCCATTTTCTTTTTCATTGTGAGCATTTTAAGTAGAATATTTTCAATTTTTTAGCCACAACACATCAGGTGAATGACAGTTGTCTTTTTTCCTTTTAAGGTAGTACTGAAATTCACTGTCCCAGATTTTAAGAACTCTTTAGAATTTTTTACTTCGCTTGCTCAGAGAAGAGGACTGCACCAAAAAGGCGGAACTCCAAATGTGGAAGGTGCTGCCAAACTGCTGTGGTCAGAGTGGACAGGGTAAGTGGACAAATGCTCCTTTCTCTTGGCATTTGATGACCACAGAAAATAAAGGAACTGATTTTTGACAAATCATGTTTTTAATATCAGTGGCTGTTTAGGCTACTATTGCCATCCCCCTACATCTTGGACTCTTTCTCCACACTTTAATGAAAACGTTGTGGCAGACATGAAATGGGGCTTTAATCTGGAAGAACTGGAAAAGAACAATGTGCACAGTATACAAGGTAAGCAAGGCTTATGTTTGCTGTCTTCGTCAGTTGACAGACCTATTAAGGTCTGTTTACTTGTGCTGTATTCCTTTCCTAGCCATCAGAAGCCCTTGTTTAGCCAGTAGCATCCTTTTCCAGTCTTCTGGTCTGACAAATGGAATAATAGAGGAAAAGGACATACCTGAAGAATTGCCGAAACAGAGAGAGAGGAAGCAGCAAGGCAGAGAAGACTATGAAAACATCAACAATGACCAGGAAAGTGTTGAAGAAGCTGATGTAAGTATGATGTCTCTGAGTTGTTTACACTGAATTAAGTTTTCCAATATTATAATGTACAACAAATGAGAAGGGGGTAAAGGTAGAAATTAAACATTTCAGAATAGATTACAAAAAGTTCCATAACAATTTTGATATGTAAGCCTTCCATAGTTTTATTTTTAATTCCATTATGTGTATCTTCAGAGGCCTTTTCATTTACATAATTATTTGGATTAATGAGCAGACACAAGGGCTACTAATATAGTACTTTCTCATTGTCATACAGGAAAAGAGCTCAGACATGTCCCCTCCAAAAGAGGCCTGGGAAGCACTGCCTGAGGAGGCTCAAGCAGGTGAGTTGGGTGGAGGGGTCCTCTAACAAATCAGTGTGATATGGAATTGTTCTTACTTAAAAAAGAACCAAAAACAAAACAAAAAAAACCACCCACTTTTCTTTCCTCCAATATAGATGAACAGTCTGAGCAGTCGTACGTCTTGGATAGAGTGCCTGAAGAGGAAGATGATGCTTATAACTTCAATACAGACTATGTCTAATGAAACTTTGTCCTGCTAGGTTTGGTTTCTTTTTAACATCTTGAATAGTCTGCTTAAACTGTTCTATGTGTTTGATACACCATCTGTTTCTATTGTAAAGCTGTGTAAATTTTGTAAGTATGTATATCATGAAATACGTAATTTACCTGGACACAAAAAATAAATCAGGTACCTATTGAAAAATGTAGGTTTCATTTTATTATAGATCGGGCCACAGGTTACAAACTTAAAATCAAGCAGCAGTATTGAACTGGCTGTACCAGCCTTATCAGTTCATCACCTCTGGTCATTCAGCACTGCAGTAAGCAAACACTAGAGACAGACGTAGTCCAGCACGGAAGCTGACTGCCAGGCAGTGCTACTTGTCCTCTTTATACTGTTGAAATGTCCCTTTTTCCATGGGTTGCCACACCTGCTACTTCTCACACGTACTATCTTCCAGGATTTCCTGAGAAAGGCTTATAGCATAAATTATATTTTACTTTGTATCTGAAATTTCCATATGTCTTCGGATTAGGCTAAACTTGCCTGTTGGGTCAGGAATGTACCATTTCTCCCAGACATCAGTATATGAAGCAGTTCTTCCCCATGGCTTAAAGTGTCCATTCCAATGGAGTAATTTGGCAGCTTTTACAAACTGGGGTGAATATCGTTTTCCGGCACTGGAGCCTTATATTGAAAGAAAGAGACTCAAATGATGTACCAGTCAGACACAACAATGCAACATCAAAGTGAAGAAAACTTAAAAGGAAATTATATACCCTGAGGATAGTCTTTTATTAAGCTTACGCCTTTGGTTAATTACTTCTGCTTACCAAGGTGGCGGACATTCCACATTGGGTCAATGGTGGAGTGCTGCTGATAAAATACAATCAACAGGGGGGGTGTTGTGATGCTGCCAGCAAGTGTTCTGCTGTACAGTCCCTCTCTTGGAACAGATAACAAATGCAAGCTGTTAATGAAGAATCATGACTAATTCCTGTTGAAATACAGCTAGGGCACTTTTATACTTACTCTATGTTGAGTCTCATCCATTTTTCCAGCTGGTTAGTTACATTCTGTCTTTTCCATTCTGTCAAGTTGGCAACAAAAACTCCAGGATTAAATGAGCAGGTGCTGGCTTTCATGGAAAGCTTACGAATTCTTTCCTTTTTATAGTCAAGGTATCCAATATAATTGTACTAAAAACACAAATGGGATATGTAGTATGTCCACTGCTTCAAACAGAATAGGTACATGCAGCCATGCACCGCTTAACGGAGATGCTCTGAGAAATACATCTTTGGGCAATTGCATTGTGCAAACATTACAGCATGCACTTAGATGAAGTGGCCTACTACACAACTAGTCTGTGTATATAGCCTATTGCTCCTAGAAGCCTACAGAGCAGGTTACTGTACTAAAAAACACATGATTACATCAAGCACAAGAGAAAGTGATAAAGAGTGCAGTAAACAGGTGTATGCGGCTGCTGTGGTTGTAAAGGCATACCCAAAAAGTAAAAATACACTTTATTAATGATACACATGGTAAGTCCATAAACCAGTAATGGTTATTATCCAGTACTATGTACTGTTCATAATTGTATATGCTGTACCTAAATGTGCACAGTAAGTTTGTTTATACCCAGCATTAATCACGAACTCAGGAGTTACACGTCATGCTTCGACATTAAGATGACTATGTGCTCACTGTACAGTTCCATTATAATCTTACAGGACCACCAATGGGTATGTGAAGCAGTTATGCAGCACATGGCTCTAATGTGACAGCCAGTAAAGAAAAGAGCTGTTATTAAAAACTATGACTTACCTGATTATTAGTGAAGGGCTCTACATATAAAGCAAATAAAAGTGACATTTGGGATTCCAAGTTAGGCAGAATAGAAAACTTCTAGAAGACGGGCTTAAGGTTTGGGGTGAAATAATTGAGGACTGGAATGCAGCATAAAAGAAGTTCCCTACCTCGCCTGCTGTGGCTCAGTATGTTTCTCTCCCTCTCCTCTCTCAAATCCTCAGAAAAAGAATCCCCCAATTTTGCTGCCTCTCCACATTAATGTGCTCTATAGGGAGGGGAGTGTCTACAGGGCTCTAATAAGGAATTTACCTGGTTTCCAGCTCCACGGATGATAACTTTAGTAGAGGCTGAATCACAATCTTCTGAAAATGCAGCTGCATGTCCTGGCTTCAGTGGTGTATTGTAGAGGGCAAGAATATCACCTGAAAGGGTAGAAGATTTACGTTTTCATTTGCCTCAAGATCCCTTATTCCTCCAACTCATTCCTAGGATGACCTTTTGCAGGATACCATAAATAAGACAACCACTACAGCTCACACAAGACAGAGAACGCTGTTAATGAATGACATTCTTAGATACCTTGCACAATTATGTCATCATCCATATATATGGCTTTCTTTGCACTGGGAACCAGAATAGGCAAGTAGAACCTTGCAAAGGTTAACTGCAAGAAAAAGAAAGAGGGATTGGCAGAGGATTCAACCTTCTCTGTTCGTATTTACTAGAAACTCCCAGAATGCTCTCAGTACTCACACAGGAGAAGACAGACAAAGATCACTTAAAATTGCCCAGGCTTGGTCCCAGGAAACTGCTTGCACTGTACCCAGTTACCCAGATACTCAGTCATTTCCTAACACTCCCACATACAAACAAGGATGCATGGAACTCACTGGTTTTATGGATTCCCCCTGGTCAGGATCCTCCTTTACTTTCCCTTCCAAAAGTTTAGTGTCAAAAATCACAATTTTATACCTGATGCTTTTCAGGGTACTGCTGCTGAGCCAAGACCTAATGAAAATAAAACATTTCAGTTTTAAATAATCATGTCCTAAAACGACAGCCTTATTTTTCATGCCTCCTAAGAGAAACCCTAGGGACGAAAATATGTATGTTCAAGCCCCTTCACTTCTCTGAGCCTTGGTTTCCACATCTGAAGAGAGTACTCCCAGAGCCAAGATTCTATGGTAGCAGGTACTACTTCCCTCAGGCTCACACTTTTGATCACTCTTCTGATACTAAACTTGTAGAAAAACTCACTCCAGTGTCCACGCATACCATTCAACTCTTACCCTCCAAATACTTGGGTGAAGAAAAGTCAAAGTAGGATGGTAGTGAAAGCTAGTTATCAACAAAGCTGGTAGTTAACCCACAGCATAATCCACTGTGACAAATAATTATTGTACCGAAGTCTAATGTACTGCCTGTAACAAAAGTTGTTTCCTAAAGTACATTTTCTGTAGGTCCATTTCAAGTCACTTCATGGACAGTTATTTGTGTAGTCATTTATTTTAGGTCGTTTCTAAGTTTTGTGGGGTTTTAAAAAAGATGTTATTTACTTATTTTTAGAGAGAAGGGAAGGGAAAAGAAGGAAGGGGAGACAAACATGAATTGGTTGCCTCTCAAACCCCCAACTGGGAACCTGGCCTGCAACCCAGGCATGTGCTCTGACCAGGAACTGAACCAGTTACCATTTGGTTTGCAGGCTGGCTCTCAATCCACTGAGCCACACCAGCCAGCACTGTTTTTAAAATATGAAAAAATAACTCACAAAACAAAGTCACAAGGACAGAAATGTTTTAGAACTTTGACAACTATTAACCTGTTACACAAGATGTTTCTTGGAATAAACCGTAAACCTTAAAGCATTTTTAAAGCATGGATGAGACTGTCCCTCAGATTAGGTTTCTATTATTAATCACTGTAACAGTAAAAACCATTTAGTGAGGGATTATATACTAAGTGTTATTTTAAAATATATTTTCTCACTTAGTTGACACAATAATCCTCTAAGTTGGGCACTTCACCCCATACTTACAGATGAGGGCTCCGAAGAGTTAAGTAATGTTCTTCCATCCAGAATCTGGATCAGTGTCTGTGCCCAGGTCTTCACACTACCTTGCCATTGTTCCCACATCCCTTCCCACTCTAGACAAGAGCTACTCATGAGACAGAAACTTGTAACAGGATGTAAATCAACATATTGCTTCTTTCATTGAAAAAAACCTTACTACTAAAAAAAATTACCAGTTTGAGTTAGCAGTGTACGTGGTGACCCAGTTGACTTACATCTTAAGTTCCTTGTATCATTTCTGTTATTGTGGGGACATGCTTCCAATACAGTAACATGGAAAAACATGTCATGTGCAGTTTGTATGTGGTATAATCTCAACTGTATAGAGAAAATACATATTAAAGAGCAACCTCTAGAAAAAGCATCAGGCAAGCAGAGCTCACCGGAGATGGTCTGCTGTGCCGTTGAGTGTAACAATGTAGAAAATGACATTGGAGCGAGTGTTGTGCTGAATGCTGTTTATGGCTGCAATGGTCCCCCCGAGCCTATCTTCAGATGCAGCAATAACCACAGGAATCTCCTCTTGTCTCCAATCTACCACATGATGGGGAGCATTTGGGATAAAGTCTATGGGCTGAAGCCCCACAATTCCTGAATCTGCAAAGAGCACACATAAGAAAGGTATTGTGATACAAACACAATCTTATAAGGCATCGACACAGAGCACCAGACTAGAAAAGAGGTGATGATTATGATGCTGATCTACGTCATCCTTCCCCCCATTACAATGTGAAGTATAGGGCCCAGAAATCATGTTTTATAGGCTTTTGGAAAAGCAGAAGCAGCATTTAAAATAAAAAATAATTAATAAATTTAAAAAAACAGGTCAACAAAATTTTCATACACTACTGATAGGAATATAACAGAACCTTTCTAGCAATTTTTGGCAATTTGCACCAAGAGCATTAAACAGGTACATGGCCTTTGACCAATAATTTCTCTTGCTTCTCTTACGGACAAAATCTGAGAATCAAAAGCTACAATTTTATTTACAATTGTGAACACCTAGAAACAAACTAAAAAGTTTTTCAGACTATGAATAATGTCCAATAAGTAGACATGAAAACATCATGATCAGAATTTATGTAGAAAGAGTTCCTGAATTGAAACAGAACATTAAATTAGAAAATATCAGAATGCATTACACACAGCAACTACACATATTGCTTTGTAAACCATTTTTCCCTTTTATAATATGTCCATTTACTCATTCAATCATTCATTAAACGCTGAGCGCCTGCTATGTGCCAGGCAATAGTAGTGGATTATAGCCATGAATAAAACAGATGAATCATCACCGTGAAAGGCAGAGAGGCAGCACATACACATGTATCTGTATGCTGTATGTAATGCATTTCTTATTGTGGGGTTACCATGAAAAGGTCAAAAAGTCATTGTACAAAAAGACTTTTTTTCCGTAGAAACAAACTACGTGGCATTCAAGTTACATATGAAGAGTTTCTACTGTCATGGTGACCTACTTAAAACATGTCATATGTGCAGTTTATACATAGTATAATTTCAACTATAGAAAAAGCATAGACAGGGAAAAGAAATGGAAGGTACTAAAGTCAAAATTTTAATAATGGTTATCTCTAAGCAATAATCATTTTATTCAGTGTATATTTTATTGAGCACTTCCTATGTACCAGCCACCACTCAGAAGCACAGGAGATAAAGCAGTAAACAAAATGTCCTTATGGAGCTTGAGTGCTATCTTTTCTAATAAACATTCCTACCAGGGGCAGGTATTACTTTACGTACATACAAGGGCAGGCAAAAGTAGGCATTCATATGGAAAATAATACAACAATAAGTAATATGAAAGTAAACTTTTGTGTCTTGTGTACTCACAACTCTAAACCTACTTTTGCCCACCTCATATATATACATACATATGTACAAATACACACACATACATATACAAACTGTTACACTGTAAAATACGCTATCAAAGCACTCAGGAAAAGTCAGGGGAAGCTATTAGTTTTTTCTTGCTATGGTCAACTATGATGTGTGGCAAACCAAAAATGATTTTTAACAAACATGCTGAAGCCTCAAACATCCCTCAATACCAATGTGGAGCAGTATGAACAAATAATTTTAAATAACTAGCAATGGAATTATATAATAAAACAACTTTAAAAAACATTAGTTGACAAGGCTTTATGGTTTTGTTTTACTATATACACTTGAGTGCTGCTGATGCACTTCCACAGGTTATAGGAAAGTAACAGGTGAAGGAAATTAACCAGACTGACCCTCTAGTGAACGCAGCAGGCATCAAACACCAGTGACACTCAACTGTTCCCACCTTCTGAAGCCCTGCGCTGCTGCAATGTGAGCAAATAGCAGTAGCTCACGGAGGCTTCTCTCTGGCCTCTGATTTCATGAAGCATCTTCTGTCAGATCAAACCCTTAGCAAACAACTGCACAGAAGGGAGAAGAGGCAGGAGTGGGAAAGCTGCAAAAGGATAGTGAGAACCGCCATGCTTTATCCCAGAGCCATTAGGAGCTTTTGTAAGGCCAAGAAGAAAGCTTTCTTTTCCTTTATCCTAGTGATACAACTCAGGATGTGGGACACCGGGAACTCCCACATCAACAGATGTCAAGCGTTCACATACCTGAAACCTCATTCTTTAGCAAACTGCTCAGGCCAAGGAAGTTACGGTGCAAAACCAGTAAGAAAACAACAGCCAGGACCAGGATGACGATGTTAACTGAAACACAGAGGGGAAAGCCTGAATTATATCTCTGTACTTTTTGGCCAGGAATAAAAACATAACTTGAGGAAAAAGCTTACCTTTACGGAATGACATCTTTCTCTTCTGTCTTACGTAAATACTAGTTATGAAGCCTACAAAACAAAATCAAGCCCCCAAAGTCAGTAAATACAAAATACCTAAACACTTTTATTCAGGTAGAAACAGTAAGTGCATACTTTCTGCAAAAACTTGTTTTGAATTAACAGTTTCTAAGAACCCAATTTGGAACCTGATTTTTTTATGGTAGCTATGATAATAAAATACTTCCAAATAACTTGAAAAAAAAGATAACTTTATATATTATACACCTCTAGACGACAAGCAAAAGAAATTCTACCTAGGGTCTAGCCTCTGTGGAGGGTATAGTATAAATTTCTACTTAAAACTGCTTGTTAAATTAGGTAGTCAGTTGTCTATTAGAGTAATGTGAGGTCGGCCTCACTGGTACAAAGCATCCATGTTCTGAGTTGTCTCATTCACGTTTAACTGGAAGAAAGGGGGGATAAGAACATTTTCCTCATTCATTTAAAACTATAGCAAAGAAACAATGACAAAAATTAACAAAATCCAATTTTGCTATCAAATGTTTAGAATGCAAAAAATATTAAAACAACAACAAAGTTTAGAGTACTATTTTTTTTATGATGGATGCACTTCTTTTTTTTAATTTTTATTTATTTATCTTTAGAGGGGAAGGAGAGAGGGAAAGAAACATCAATGTATGATTGCCTCTAGTGCATCCCCTGCAGAGAACTGGCCTGCAGGGAACCTGCCTGCAACCCAGGCATGTGCCCTGACTGGGAATCGAACTGCGATCCTCTGGTTCACAGGCCCGTGCTCAATCCACTGAGCTACACCAGCCAGGGCTTTAGAGTACTATTCTTAAAAAATTAAAATCTAAAAGAAAAAAAATAGCTGCTTCTCTGCAGCTTTATGCTCCCCAACTCATCTCATTAACTCAATGGAAACAAGAACTGTAGGTGGTACTAAAACTATTAGAAATCTATGATAATCTCTAGGTAACTCTTCCTTAAAAATAGATATTAAACAACCAGGTTACTGTGATCCTACATTTGAGACTTTTACTCTTTTTTACTTCATCTTCTCCCATGAGAGAACCTAACATTTACAAAAAGCTATAAATTTAACAAAGCATTTTTGAATATAGCATATTTCTCAAATCAAAGTAAATTAATTTCACCTTTAAGTGTGCATATCAGTTCCTTGATGTCTCAAGGTCTTTGAAAACAGGAGAAATATACTGAAGGATTGTTTAAAAATCTGGGGATCACAGGTCAGATTACAAATTTTGGAGATGATTCAGACTCCCCAGGAATAATCTAACTCTTTGTATCTTTCCTTCTACAGCAGGATATATAAAGTGCATTATATCAATGAACTTCCTCTCAAATATATACTGTAAAGCAGGTGCTTCTATCGCATTTGTGGGCTGAGCCTTATCTATGCAAGCTGGCAGACTGGGAGGTGCTCAGACAAAGCTGTAACGTCTGCCTGCTCGTAGCCAACTTCCACCAAGACTGGAGAAAACTACTTCACTCAAGTAAATCTCATTAAGTTCATGGTAGAAGGGGCAGTGTTTTAGGTTAACAATGTCCAGTAACAATTACTTACAGGTAGTATGTGAATCGAGAGGCACATGTGTTTGTGCTATTCCAGTTAGCCAGACACAAGAAAAACACAATCCCAGCAGATATTTGATGTACTCACGCACCCTGGGGGTACCTTGAGTCCTACCGTCTTTGACCCTACGTACCACATCGCATAGAGGTCAGAGAGCCTCCTGGGACGCACAGGCCGGGGTTCTCCAGAATGGTTTCTCTTCGAAACAAGGGCAGCCCCTTCGTTCAGAGTAACGGGGGAGGGGCCTATGTTTTTGACACAGAGACCGGCCCTGAGAGACAGACACAACCTTTTTGGCTGGTTTCTACCAGGAGGGTCCAGTGAAGTCAGCTTGAACATGCTGGTGGCCAACTTGGAGACTTCGAGGTGGGAACTTTCGCCGCACCGGAGCAAGGGATGGCCAAGGACCGAGGGGATTCTTTTCTCTCGAGGACACGGCCTGGGGTAGTCCCTTCTAAATTCTAGGAGTCAATAAGGCCCTCTTACGCTTAGGGGTACCGGGGGCTGTCACGCTCCCAGGGTTCCCCTCTGCCCCAGAGAGACTCGGGGTACCGGCAAGCCGTAGACCTTAGGACGCTCCCCGCTCCTTCCCTTACCTGCAATCGGAGGAGGAGCCGCCACCCGCGCCCCGGCCGGCTCCGCCCCGCCAGCTCAGCGCCGGGACCGCAGGCCCCGAGGCCCAATCTGCCGCCGGGCCACCCGCGTTTCCTGTTCTTCGGACTAGTCGGGCCAACACGCTGGGTCCCCTGCAGCCACGCAGTTCCGCAAGCCTCAGCCCACCAGCTGCATCTACAGCGTCACACCTAGCAGGCGCCACGGGGCAGCCCCACTGCCAGGGTCCTCGCAAAAAAAAGCCCGTCACCATGGAGACGGGGCACGCGCCGATGGCCGTTAAGTCCCTGAGGCCCAGTCTAGGACAGTTTGAGGAGCCTGGGGTGCGGCTCACAGCACCCAACAGCACAGACGGCGAACTCTTCCCCGGCGCGCAATGCCTCGACTCGGCCGCCGCGGTCACCACTTCAGCCTCCGCGGGCAGTGCGACGGGCTCCACCCGGCTCCGTAAGCGCAGGGCACCTAGCGATGGAGCGGGGCGGGGCCTTGGGCCATCCGGGTCCGCCTGAGACATCCGTTTCCGGGGCTGCGGCCTTCGCACTACCCTGCAAGGCAGGCTCGTCCAGCTGTACCCGGGACCGCTCGCCAAACTCTGAGTCGCGGTCGCCCTCGCCTCGTTCCCGGACGCCAGCCCTCCGCTGCCCACCTTCTCGGCCAGTCATGTTGGAACATCTGAGCTCGCTGCCCACGCAAATGGTGAGGGTGCGGCTCACCTTGGTCCTAACATTCGCGCGCCGCTCACCTAGCAGCCCTCGTGCGTCGAGACCGACCAGCTCCGTTGCGGTTCCTGGCCCAAAAGTTTATCTTGCACTGGTCCCCGGTTTGTGTCTCCTGGGTCTCTCCTCCCTTCCTCCGCGAGAATCCCCCCTGCCAGTACTACATTAGGATGCTTCAGTTCCCCCAGGAAACCCAGCATTTCATTTCATGCCCAGGTCCTTGGGGGATCCCCTGATGACGGGATTGACCTGTGCCTAGCCTGTGAGGCTAGGGCAGGAATTGTATCTCTTCGGTAGTGGAACCAATTCCTGCTTTGCTCTCCTTCACCTCTAGGATTACAAGGGCCAGAAGCTAGCTGAACAGATGTTTCAGGGAATTATTCTTTTTTCAGCAGTAAGTATTGGCTTTGCATGATCTTTACCTGTTTTCTTCCTCTCGACCCCCAGCCTGACTGTATTTATTATATTTTGTTTCTAGATAGTTGGATTTATCTACGGGTACGTGGCAGAACAGTTCGGATGGACTGTCTATATAGTTATGGCTGGATTTGCTTTTTCATGTTTGGTAAGACGTTTGTGGGTGTTTGAATGTTAGTGGCAACTTGGGTTGTCTGAATTGGATTGTTTTGATTGCACCTGTTAATGAAAACCAGCACAAGCTTTTCACTCATCCTTTCCATCAGTTTCCCCTTGCTAATCCTGGAGAAGTAGAATGCCTGATAGTGTTAGCTGAAGTAAGCTGTATAAAAGGATACAACTAATTTTTTGGCAGCTGCCACAAGCAGCAACCCCAGGGTTAAAGTTAGCAGGATTTTGCTCCATGCTTACTACTGTTTTAGCTCTTAAAGCCGTATGTCCAAACAGTGAGGCTTGTTCCTGTCACTTAAAGTGTCTTGTCTGGGCATTGGCATCAAGTTTTCATAGGAATGTGTGTTGTTTTTACCTTTAGTATAGAAGTCATTTGGGAACCAGGCATTATACATAATGTTCAATGGCTATAATTGGTCCATTTTCTGTGTTCTGGCCCAGCTGACACTTCCTCCATGGCCCATTTATCGCCGGCACCCCCTCAAGTGGTTACCTGTTCAAGACTCAAGTGCAGAAGACAAGAAACCAGGGGAAAGAAAAATTAAGAGGCATGCTAAAAATAATTGACCGGGAGTTTTAATGATTCAGCTTTACTATTGCACCTGCTTTTGTATTGTGTGAGATGAGCTAAGTTTTCACACCCAAAAAACCACCTATGGTATAGCTGTGTAAAGATTTTGTTCTCTTTATATTTCACTTCTCAGTTGAGCTTTGGCATACATATATTTTAGACCTCTTTCATAATCTTTGTTTGAAATAGAAAACAGAAAATACAAATATGCAAAGTTTCTTTCAGGTCTACAGAAGTAATGAACATATGACTCAAATGATAGTAAAATTTAATTATCAAAGTTTTATAGTTCATTTTGTTAAGCTGTTTTAATATTTTCAATTAAAACTCATAGTGCAAGTCTATGTCTAAAGTCTTATTCATTATTTTGCGAGCAAGACTGCTAGTAAAAGCAGAAGCTAGAAGTTCATGGTTCTGAAAGTGTCAGTAAGCCTCATTTATATTTTTGGTAACTTCCAGTTCCTAATACAATTCTTACTTAACAACGAGTACCTAATGAAAAAATTTACTAATGTGAATTTGTGATAAAGTAGTATTTTTACTACAAATACTACAGTATTAGTAGTAAAATCCTATTTAGTAGTCTGTTTAACTATACTACAGTCTGTTTAACAACAGACTAAAATAAGTCTATTCTTAAGCAGGAATCATTTAATTATGCTTTACCCAAGATGGACTAAAGTGAAAATCTATGAAGCTATACATTCCTTTTAAGTTTTCCAGAGGGCTGAAAAGAAAACAATCTAAAGGTTTTATGTGAGGGATGGGAGGGTTATTACAGATAATATTCTATTTCTCAATAACAGGGTGTAGGACTTCCAAACTGTAGTTTTAAAAAAAAGGGAGCAGACATTAATACAGCAAGTCAGGAAGTTTATTTCTTAATCCATACTGGAAAATGAGTTTTTATTTATTTTTATTTTTATTTTTATAGAGATAGAGGAAGGGAGAAACATTGATAGGTTGATTCCTATGTGCACCCTGACCAGGGACTGAACCTGCAACCTAGGTATATGCCCTGACTAGGCACTGAACCTGCAGCCTTTTGGTGTATGGTATGGTGCTCCACTAAAATGTACCCAGGGCAAAAATCAGGAAAGTTAAAAAAAGAAAAAGTAAGAAGACAAATATGTAGACCAAGTATGTCAATAAATACAAGGTAATTTAACAGTTAGGAGCTCCCAAGTAGGGTTGAAAATCAGGCTACCTCATGTTCTCAAATGACATCCAGTGGTTGAAAACAGGACAAAGATACTAGGCAAATGCAAGCAGAAAGGAGGGGTAATAGTGAAAAAAATTATATTTAGTATCAGAAAGCATTGAATGTGGCAAAGAGGAACATTTCATAGCTGCCAAGATGTCACTGTTGTAAATCGTGCACTGAATAAGATGTGAAATGCATAAAGCAAAGAATGTTATTGATAAAAGTTTGGCAAGGCTACACTTTTTGTTTCAAAAGTAAAAATTCAGTTTATTCATTTGTTTACAACACAGTACACAAGAGGCAAAATGTTTCACATCATGGATTTCACTTCCAGCTCCTTGGAAGGTTCATTTCTTTGGCTAAAAGGAGATACTAGATGGGAAAGCCAAGCGATGCTGGGGTAACTGAAGTAAGGTCTGGACAGGAGCAATGCTAACTAACATCATCCTCACAGAGATAGGCACAGGGTCTGTTAGGCACAAAATGATTTTCTAGAATCGTTAGCTGGAAGCACAGTAGCACCACTCCAGGCTTCAGTCATCCCTATCACAAAGGTATGGCAGCACTTTCTGGTAGTCACCCTTGGTGTCTTGCTGGATGTAATACTACAGGGACTTGCCATACTTCTTGAATTCGGACCTGATTCTCAACGTGTCCACTGTAGGAGATCATGATTCTGGTCAAGATCTTATCGAATGTCCCCTTGCCCTTCGTAGAGTCATACAGTCTGTCACAAAATATGGGCTTGTTCTGGATGCCCTGGACCAGGTTCAGGAAAGCATTTTCCAGGTCTCTCTTGACTTCCTTCTTGATGCTCTCCAACATGTTATAAGGACTGTAGTTCTCGTACCTTTCAAATACTATCTGGAGGTGACATGCTCCACTCAGTCGTGATGCTGATCCACTTGGGAACATCAGTTCTTTTCCTGTTTACTCCAGCATCATGGAGATCCCAGGCATCTTGGTAAATCAGTTCATGATCAATGACAGAGCCATCTTTGGCCCTTTTACCCTTCCCAAGGACAACCATTAACTTGCAGAAGTCACCAGATGTGTCGGAAACAATGTCCTTCTCCATGTCAGTCTTGTACATTTTCTTGTAAACTGTTAATTTCCTGTAGCTCCTGGTTGGTCTGAGCAGATGATCTCAATGAGAGTCTTCATTAGTCCCCAGCCCCTACATGGGGGTCCTCAGCTTGGAAACATCATACTGTGCAGGTGTTTTTAATAGGCCCAAAATCACTGTTTCCAGGTAGCTGGACAAAGCTGACAGCAGCACAGATGCAGTTCCTTTTCAGTCCTTCTCTGGCAGGCGAAGGCAGTATCCTGTCTCTGTTCATTGCTGCAGTCACTCAGAATGTTGATAATGGTGAGCTCAACCACACCTTTGGTCTTGATGGCCATTTCAATGTTCAAAGCATCCTGGTTAGCATCAAAGCTGGTATAGGCTTTGACTGACCTCTATCGTATGCATTTGGGGGTGTAGAGTGATCACCCTCCAAGTTGAGCTTGCACAGAATTTCATGAACAGTAGACATTTTGAAAGAAGCTGGGCCAGGTGCTAAGAGCTGTGAATGTCCCCACATGCAGGGTCAAGCTACACTCTTTTGATAGGAGACCAATACTTCTCAGATTTTGATAGATCAAGTGGACAGGTGATTGATAGGAATACTTTTGCACTTGTTCCCAGCACTTGGAACATTCCCTCAGGTGCATGACTTGTTTTCTCCATTCGTTCAGGTCTCTACCCAAATGTCAATATAATGAAGAATTTCCTGCTATCCTATCAAGATAAAGTGGTATGCCCCATCATTCTATATCCATTTAGCTTGCTCTATTTTTCATAACATGTATTTATTTGTTAATTGTCCTCCACAGATGAAGCTCCATGGGCTTGTTTTACTCACTGCTATTTGCACAGTGCCTACAAGAGTATGTGACACATCATAGGTGTACAACAAATATTTACTGAATGAATGATACAAAGCTACACTGTCCAGTGTGGTGCCACTAGTCACATGTGCCTATTTACATTTAATTGAAACTAAAAAATTGAGTTCCTCAAACTAGTCACATTTCAAGGGCTCAAAAGCTATGTATGACTGGTGGTTACCATATTAAGACAGCACAGATACAGAACATTTCCATCATAAAATGTTATTGAGCACACCTTACACAAACTTGTATAATATTTAATAGTGATTGTGCATAATGGAATTCACCTCTATTGAATGCTCACATTATTGGCTATTCCAGTAATGGAACATGCACTGAGCCCCAAGGAAAAACAATTTTAGGAAAGAGGTCTTGCAGCTCATTCAGTAACAAAACTGCAATGTAGCTGGAGTGAGGAGACAGAATTTCCTTGGTTCTCTGAACACGTGGAAATTAAGAAACTTATTTAAGAAGTCAAAGCCAGAATTATTTAGAAACTAATGACGACAAGAATGTCATCTAAGTCTGAAATGTGGCCAAAGGTATATTGAGAAGAAAATTCAGTCTTAAAAATGTGTTTCATAATTAAATAAGAAAGTTGAAAAATTATCAAGTATTTAAGAAAAAAGAACCACAAAATAACAAAAAAAAATAGGATGAAAACTGAGTGAATATTTAAACAATAAAAATATATAAAATTGGAATAGTAAAGTATGCAGGAGATCTTTTCATTCTAAGAAAATATATGTAAATCTTTATACCAATAAGTTAGGAAACTTAAGTAAATCAGTGACTTTCCAGAAAGATGTTGATTTCTGAAATGTGCAAGAAATGGTGAATAGCTCAGGAAGACAAACAGTTGGCCAAAGATCTACCCCCAAGCGGGCATTAGGACTAGATGGTTTTATAGTTGAATTCTAACAAACCTTTCAAAATAAAAATAAGAGGTCTCAGAAACTAGGCCATGAGCATGGTAAGGGCAGGGAATAATAATTTATTCATCACTATATTCCCAGCTTCAGGAAAGTGACCGGAGAGGGAACATTTCATTAAAGTATTTTATGTGTGTATATATTTCCAAAGAAGATACATTTTTAATTATAAAAACAAAACATGTCTGGAGCAGAATTCACTTTTAGAGCCCCTTGAATACACAAGTGAAAATTGACTACTCAAGACTTATTTTGTAAAAACTATTTCCTAGGTGGGCAATACCCCTTATATAAACAACTAGTAAAATAAATAATATATAAGCATACATTTAAAACATGGAAAAACAGCTTGGTATCTTGATGTACAAGAAGACAAACTTCAGGAGACAAATATGTCCAACATAACTAAAAGGAGCTGGATTTTATATACAAATTGCTTAACTGGAAAAGGAATAAGTATTTAAGAAATGTTTTCAATGATGGAAAAATAAGTCTAAAAAAAACCAACATGTAAATACAAAGTCAAAATATCTATTAGTATACCCAAAGACATGCATATTACATGGAAATAAAATGTTCAATATGTAAAGAGGGAATTCAGTTGCTCAAGTACTAGATACAAGTTCATATTCTTTAAATTTAATCCCAGGATCTTGAATTGACTTTTTACAAAATAATTTACCAACTACTACTTAAAAGTTATTAACAATGACAAGTAGTATCACTGAACATATTCTTTCATTTATTTCTCCTGTTGCTTTGATCACTACAGTAGAATATAAAACTTCCAATCCAATGCTATATGGTCCAGTATTCAAGCTAATTAGTACCTTAAAAAAATAAAGTTCTAGATATAAAGTTGGTGGTTTAAGGCTCAGTAAACAGCAACCAAAGTCTTGGATTTTTTCTCACAAAAAGATCAAGACAGCCAAAGTTTCTTTTGTGAGCTTGCTTCATATTTGTTCTGTCCCATTATTTTTCTAGTAATAAAAAAACCCAAAGAGATACAAGGCTGGTGAATAGCCTCCAGCCATCATTATAAGTTTGTTTTTGTTTAAGCCAAACACCTTTGAATATAGGTCTTCAGTTCTGGCAGTGTATTATAATAAATTCTCAGAAATTCACATTTTCTTCAAAAAATTTCAGTTGGCGAGCTTTCACACTGTAAGTTGCATACTTTTCACCCATGTGCTCCCGCAAACGTACCTATTTGGAAAACAAAAAGAAAAGTATGTAGTAGAAAGAAGATTTATGTAATCTTAGAATAGCTGTCCTAAGCATGATACCAAAGGTAGAAATCATATGGGTAAATACTAATAGTATACTTACATAAGAATTTGAACTTCAAGATATTAAAATGTAGTTTTAAGAAATTAAAGAGCAAACAAATGAGAAAATATTTTTAACATACATGTGAAGGAATACCATTAATATATAAAGAGCTCTTAGAATCAATAAAATACTAGAACATCAGAATTTATAAAACAAAAGCACACATAATTCAGCAAAGGTATTTACAGAATAATATAAATAACCAATTAACAGAAAATTCAATTTGACGAAATCAAGAAAATTTACTATGTGATACTATGTTAAAAGAAATGCCTGAAATTAACAGATGAGCTCAAGAGATGTTATGGATCTCCTCATACAATGTACTAAGGACATAATATCAGTTCTGAGGTGCTCCTGTCAAAAATGCATAATCTGTTATCTACATGAGGTCAGACAAATCAAAACTAAGAGGCATTTTATAAAGCACATGGTCTATACTCTTTAAAAATGTCAAGATCTGCCCTGGCTAGGTGGCTTCGTTGGAGCATTGTCCCACAAACCAGAAGTTTGTGGGTTTGATTCCCAATTAGCACATAACTAGGTTGCAAGGTTCAATCCCTGGCCCGGAGGTGGTTGATGTTTCTCACATTGATGTTTCTATCTCTCTTCCTCTCTAAAGGCAATAAACACATCCTCAGGTCATAAAAAGTCATGGTCAAAAAAAGTCAAGGTCATAAAAAACAAAGACTAAGCAACTGTTTCAGATTAAAGGAGATAACAGCGAATTGGTTCCACATGTGGCATGACAGCATGCGGAGATCTGCAGACCCCTCAGTGAAACAAGAAATTTATTTTTAAGACCGACCATTTACCCTGACTGTGTTGGGCATCGTCCTGCAGATCAAAAGGCCGTGGATTCGATTCCTAGTCAGGGGACATGCTGGGTTGCTGGCTGGGCCCCGGGTTGGGGGCAGGCATACAAGAGGCAGACAATTCTCTCCCTCTCTTTCACCCTCCCTTCCCTTCTCTAAAAATAAATAAATGAAGTCTTCTTAAAAAAGAAAAAGATTAAAAACCAACCATTTAAAGTCTATGGAAATGGTCCTGTGGGCATACAGCAAATAAAGCCACTTTTTTTCCAAGAAAATTGCCCCAGACCAAAAAGTGAAGATTCCATGCTGGGTGAAGCATACTTTGAAGACCAGGGAATCCAGCCCCTTCACCCACCTGAGCTTTTAAAGTGAGGGTATCTATTGGAAACAAGCCTGGTAACTGCCCTCACACACCAGCTTCAGAGGTTTGCTCAGAGATTTTGTCTGGGGAATCTTTTCCTAAATGAACTGACTTCATTTGTAACAGATGACGCAAAAATTCAAGCCTAAAAGTACTCTCAAAAACAACAACAAAAAGCACAGGTAGTGCTGAATGGCAACTGGGAGATGAGTACATTCACTGGATACCTCGGTTAAATGGTAGGCTACTTTAACAGAAAGAAACAAGAAGTTGGGAGGAGCCTTCCTGGGGTCGGAACAAATCTCAAACATCCCTTCAAAAGAACCTGAATTTGATCAGATCAGTCTGTAGCACAATGTCTCCCCCAGAGCATTGTTGAAAAAGGCTGAGCAATCAGCTGGTAACTAAGAAAACTTAACAGCTGGATGAGGTCAGAGAAAGGGAATGTATCAAGAAAGCTCTCCCAAACCCAGTCCTGGCTGGCGCAGCTCAGTGGATTGAGTGCGGGCCTGTGAACCAAAAGATGCGGTTCGATTCCTAGTCAGGACACATGGCTGGGTTGCAGGCCAGTTCCCAGCAGGGGACACACAAGAGGCAAACATACATTGATATTTCTCCCCATCTCTCCTTCCCCTCTAAAAATAAATAAATAAATTCTTAAAAAAGAAAAGAAAGAAAGCTCTCCCAAACCCACTGCCATTCCAAGGTTCCTGTGGACATGCCCAAGGCTGCACCTACTGAGGGGCAACATCAGAGGCTTCATGGTGGGGGAAGGGGAAAATATATTGCACTAAAATAACCCAGCCAATCACTAAACAAACAAGTAACAATAACAACCCTCACTCCCAGGGAGGCAGGTATTCAGAGTTGTAAAAACATATCTCAAATTTCCAGTTTTCAATAAAAAGTTGAGACATGCAAAGAAACAAGACAGCACCATACACACACTGGGGGGAAAAGTAGGCCAAGGGAAACTGCCTGTGAAAACGACCAGATGCTGGATTCAACAGAAAAAGACAACAAAGTAGCTATTATAAACATGTTCACAAAAACTTAAGAAAACACGATTATAGAAGTAAAGAAAGACATGATGACAATGTCCTGTCAGATAAAGATTACTGATGAAGAGAAAGTATAATAAGAACCAAATGGAAATTCTGCAGTTAAAAAGTGCAATAACAAATAAAAGATTCACCAGAGGGGCTCAAAAGTATATTTGAACTGATGAAGAAGAATAAGCAAACTTAGAAATAGACCAATAGAGATTATATAATGCAAAGAACAGACTGAAGAAAATGCAGAAAATAAACAGCCCCAGAGAAATGTGTGACACCATTTTAAGCACACCAACACGTGTGATGGGAGTTCCACAGGGAGAGGAGAGACACGCGCAGAAAAACATTTAAAAGGGTGATCACTGAAAATCTAAACTTACTGAAAATACATTAAATCCCCAGGAAGCTCGTGAACTCCAAGCAGGATCAGCTCAAAGAGACCCCCACACACACATATTAAAGCAAAAGAGCAAAAGGCCCAAGACAAGGAGAAAATCTTGAAAACAGAGGAAAATGACATCACTTCCAAGGGAACCCAAATAACAGTCACGGCTGACTTATCACAGACAATGAAGGTCAGAAGGCAGTGGGACAACATTCGAAATGCTCAGAGAAAAAACTGTTAACCAACAATCAAATATCCAGTAAAGCTATCTTGCCAAAATGAAGGCGAAACACATTTCCAGATAAACAAAAACGTAATTTGTGGCTAGCAGCCCCTCCTTACGAGCACTACTAGCAGTTCATCAAGCTGAAAGCAAGACACCCCAGGCAGTAATTCAAATTACATGAAAAGACAAACAGCACCGATGAAGGTAATTATGTAAATAAAAAACCATATACATGTAGTGTAGCTCAGTGGATTGAGTGCGGGCCTGCGAACCAGAGTATCGCAGTTCGATTCCCAGTCAGGGCACATTCCTGGGTTGCAGGCCAGTTCCCAGCAGGGGACCCACAAGAGGCAACCATACATTGATATTTCTCTCCCTCTCTCCTTCCCTTCCCCTCTAAAGACAAATAAATAAAATCTTAAAAAAAAAAACATATACATGTACAAGGTCAGCCCAGAAGGTACCCAGCCATGTAATATGAAAAACAGACATTTATTGAAGAAGATAACAAGATACAAGAAACATTGTACATAGGACAATGATGCCTCAGGCTCCTTCAAAGCAGGCACCTTGGGACCTCACACAGTTCTCCCAATCTCCATCAGCTGCCCCATCACATTTTCCTGAATCTCACTGACATTCTGAAATCTCTTCCTTTTCAAAGGTGATTTTCATTTTGGGAAAAGCCAGAAGTCACAGGGTGCCAAATCTGGACTGTAGTGGGGCTGAGTCACCTGGATGATTTGATGTTTTGCCAAAAAACTCTATACATGAGATTTTATGCATGAGTGGGCATATTTTCATGATGAAGCTGCCAATCACCAGCTGCCCACAGCTGCTGCCTTCTGAATCATCCACATAGTTTCTGTGGAGGAATGTTCAAACTTAATGCAAAATTGATACAGATTCATTGTTCTACTCACTCGGCCATTTTGAAGGTAGACAACCAGAGAGTACCCATGATCACTCAAAGGTGTCTACTGCCCCCACTGACTAGTACAGTGAAGTCATCATTGTTCACACATGCACATTCCAGTCCACTCTCCTTGGCTGCCAGGTTACATTGATGTCACACAAACCATTCATATATTGCTTCTCTGTTTTTCCCTAAACTGATTTTAAAAGCAACTGTACACTGTAAGATGTGTAGAAGATGGCAGAGGAGAAAGTAATAGGAATACATCTCAAATAGCAAAAATTGTACTAGCAGAATTTACTTGATGTAACTATTTTTGAACTCTGGAGAGTCTCTGAAAGGCTTACAGCATTCAGGGGAAGGTGTGATGGTGATTAATTTCAGCTCTTAGTACCCTCCACCCTGATAGCAGGAAGCTGTGCAGTGTTCCCGGAGCACTTTGCACACAGCCTGTAGGAGCCAGGCAATTAGAACTCTGTCCTCCAAGTACCGGGGATCAGTATACAGATAGCTGTTTGCTGCTCCTCTTCATAGAGGTGCAGACAGAAAGGCAGGCAACAAACCTGTGGTATAGTTACACAATGGAATACTGCACAGCAGAAAGAAAGAGGGAACTCCTACCTTTTGCAACAGCATGGGTGGAACTGGAGAGCATTATGCTAGGTGAAATAAGCGAGACAGCAAAAGACAAATACCATATGATGTCTCCTAAAACAGGAAACCTACTGAACAAAACAAACAAAAGAACACAACAGAACCACAGGCATGGAAACAAGGAACAAACTGACAGGAACCAGAGGGGAGGATGGGACGGGGAATAAGGGAAGGAAGAAGGAGAAGGGCATAGTTAAAGAGCAAGTATCAATGACCCATGGACCTGGACAACAGGGTAGGGATTGACTGAGGGAGTGGGGAGGATGGACAGGGCAGGGGAGAGCAATGGGGTAAAATGGAAACAATTGTAATTAAGCAACAACAATTAAAAGGTTTTTTTAAAGAGCAAAGAAAAATCCACGGGGAACCAACAGTGAAGTAAAGAAGCTGGGGTTCAAGTCAATGATTTGGAACATAAGGAAGGAATAAACAATCAACCAGAACAGAATGAAGAAACAAGAA